CCCGCCAGCCCCGCCCTCTCACCGGCAGCGCCCCTCCTCCAGTCGGTCGCGGTCGCGTTCGGAAGATGGGCGGTTCTGTCGCGCTCCGTGCCCCTCTTGAGCTGCTCCAACGTCGCGTTGGGGGCCGCGGAGGCGGCGGCGGCGGCGGGCGTAGCCGCGGCGGGGGCGGCGGTGTCACCGGGGGCGGTGTCGGGGGCGGCGGGCTGCGCCAGCTCCGTCACCAGGACCATGAGCGTCGCCGTGCACCCTCTCGCACCCATCGCGCCCCTCGCGCCGCTGGCCGCCTGGCCGCCTGACTACATCCTGGAGCAGCATCGCACCAGCGCCGAGTACCACGGTGAGTACCGAGTCCGTGCCTGCGTGCAACTGGCCAGCTCTTAGGTGTCGTTCAAATACTACGTGACGTTAGGGGGGAGGGGTACAAGTAGTGTGAGGTCCCAAAATGGTCAGGAACGGTCAGGAACATCATTGGAGTCCATAGACAGACCCCATGATATTTGCAACCCTAAAAGTCACGCAGTATTGGAACGACCCCTTAGGGTCCTAGGGTAGCAGCGCACCCAGCGCGGAGCTCCTGAAGTGCAAACTCGAGTGCAAATGAACAGCTCGGTCCTGATCGCTTGTTTTGCGGGTAGTACTTTTGTCCTTGGGAGTAGGCTACGAAAGATACCCCCGGTACTCCGCTTTGCCCGGTACGGGTCGGTTGTTCCGGGTGTTCTTCGCCGGGACTTTCCCTGGTTTGACTGTACCGCATGCAGCCGTGCGTCACGGTAAAAAGGATGTCTTGAAATCCGAGGAAATTTCTTGGATTTCAATGTTGGGTGGATAATTATTTCAAGATTGGCCCTTGAAATCCCAGACTCTTCCTTGAAACCTGCAGCTTCCAAGGGAAAGCCTTGGATCTCTCGTCTGGTATTCAAGGATTTACCTTGAAGCACGATTGGGATACTTCAAGGAAAACCCTTGAATACCAGACAAAAATTCCAAGGAATTCCCTTGGAAGCTGCGGGTTTCAAGACGGAGTCTGTGATTTCAAGGGCCAATCTTGAAATCATCCACCCAACCTTGAAATCCAAGAAGTTTCCTCAGGTTTCAAGGCACTCTTTTTACCGTGGCGTGGGCTGGCTTGCTTGCCCACCGACTCTCACCTCGGCGCCTTACAGCCCCGTGCGAGTAGGCAACACGTCCGCCCGCCTGCATGCGGTAGTCGGGTGGGTGTCCTGAGCCTGTTATTGGCTTTGTGTCTCGTTTGGTTTGGACTGACATGAGCTCATTTAACATGTTGGGGCGGCGCGACCACAGTGTGGTCACTCTTTCCTCTTATTTCAACCCTCAGAATGCATAGCCGCAGTGAACGTGATATGAAAGACGTGGCATAAACCCAGGGAGAGCAACAATTTCTTGTATGGCTTACGTTCTTGCTCTTTCTTGTTTACTCGCGATTCGCAAAATGTGAGATTTTTTGGGGTGAATTT